CCCCAGCTCAGCCGATCCTTCACTCAGTAGTAACCCCCAGCTCAGCCGATCCTTCCCTCAGTAGTACCCCCCAGCTCTGCCGATCCTTCCCTCAGTAGTACCCCCCAGCTCTGCCGATCTGTCACTCAGTAGTAACCCCCAGCTCTGCCAATCCTTCACTCAGTAGTAACCCCCAGCTCAGCCGATCCTTCACTCAGTAGTAACCTCCAGCTCAGCCGATCCTTCACTCAGTAGTAACCCCCAGCTCAGCCGATCCTTCACTCAGTAGTAACCCCCAGCTCAGCCGATCCTTCACTCAGTAGTAACCCCCAGCTCTGCCGATCCCTCACTCAGTAGTAACCCCCAGCTCTGCCAATCTGTCACTCAGTAGTAACCCCCAGCTCAGCCGATCCTTCACTCAGTAGTAACCCCCAGCTCTGCCGATCCCTCACTCAGTAGTAACCCCCAGCTCTGCTGATCCTTCCCTCAGTAGTAACCCCCAGCTCTGCCGATCCCTCACTCAGTAGTAACCCCCAGCTCTGCTGATCCCTCACTCAGTAGTAACCCCCAGCTCAGCTGATCCTTCACTCAGTAGTAACCCCCAGCTCTGCTGATCCTTCACTCAGTAGTAACCTCCAGCTCAGCCGATCCTTCACTCAGCAGTAACCCCCAGCTCAGCCGATCCTTCACTCAGTAGTAACCCCCAGCTCTGCTGATCCTTCCCTCAGTAGTAACCCCCAGCTCAGCTGATCCTTCCCTCAGTAGTAACCCCCAGCTCAGCCGATCCTTCCCTCAGTAGTAACCCCCAGCTCTGCCGATCCTTCCCTCAGTAGTACCCCCCAGCTCTGCCGATCTGTCACTCAGTAGTAACCCCCAGCTCTGCCAATCCTTCACTCAGTAGTAACCCCCAGCTCAGCCGATCCTTCACTCAGTAGTAACCTCCAGCTCAGCCGATCCTTCACTCAGTAGTAACCCCCAGCTCAGCCGATCCTTCACTCAGTAGTAACCCCCAGCTCAGCCGATCCTTCACTCAGTAGTAACCCCCAGCTCTGCCGATCCCTCACTCAGTAGTAACCCCCAGCTCTGCCGATCCCTCACTCAGTAGTAACCCCCAGCTCTGCCAATCTGTCACTCAGTAGTAACCCCCAGCTCAGCCGATCCTTCACTCAGTAGTAACCCCCAGCTCTGCCGATCCCTCACTCAGTAGTAACCCCCAGCTCTGCTGATCCTTCCCTCAGTAGTAACCCCCAGCTCTGCCGATCCCTCACTCAGTAGTAACCCCCAGCTCTGCTGATCCCTCACTCAGTAGTAACCCCCAGCTCAGCTGATCCTTCACTCAGTAGTAACCCCCAGCTCTGCTGATCCTTCACTCAGTAGTAACCTCCAGCTCAGCCGATCCTTCACTCAGCAGTAACCCCCAGCTCAGCCGATCCTTCACTCAGTAGTAACCCCCAGCTCTGCTGATCCTTCCCTCAGTAGTAACCCCCAGCTCAGCTGATCCTTCACTCAGTAGTAACCCCCAGCTCAGCTGATCCTTCACTCAGTAGTAACCCCCAGCTCAGCCGATCCGTCACTCAGTAGTAACCCCCAGCTCTGCTGATCCTTCACTCAGTAGTAACCCCCAGCTCTGCTGATCCTTCACTCAGTAGTACCCCCCAGCTCAGCCAATCCTTCACTCAGTAGTAACCCCCAGCTCAGCCAATCCTTCACTCAGTAGTAACCCCCAGCTCTGCCGATCCTTCACTCAGTAGTAACCCCCAGCTCTGCCGATCCTTCACTCAGTAGTAACCCCCAGCTTAGCTGATCTGTCACTCACTAGTAACCCCCAGCTCGTGCACCACATGTCACATCTGCTAATTTCTCCTGCTCCGGCCCCCCAGCTCTGCTGATCCTCTGCCGCTCAGTCCCCTCTCTCTCCAGTCCCCGCTCACCTTCTGCTATAGCATTCTCATGTTGCACATCACGTGTGCTCTCTGCTAGTTGCTCCTCTGCAGTCAGGACCCCACTCACCTTCCTGCTGCTCCGCACTGCACACCAGATGTGATGTCTGCACCAGGCACTCCCAGAATATATACATTATTATGTTGCAGCTTACCAGTGCTTAGATGTGGCGGCTGCATTAGTTTCCTTTTGAGGATTTCTATCCTTTGGTTTCACCTGGTGATCCTGCCAGTAAGTCTGTTTTTTTTTCAAAAGAACAACTCTCTTCCAGATGTATCAGTTTACAGGGATGGAACACATCATTTACCACTGACAGGGGCGCTTACAATGATCAGCTCTTTATTTCTGTAAAACCTTTATCCCTGTTATAAAGTATTAGCTGGAGTTTGGCTTCAAGTTGTTAGTGTAGTTAAATCTGCTAGTCCATCTCACACTCCCCTGTAAACTGACAACGCTGCTGTCTTTTTAACACATTGGCTGGGAGTCATATTTTCGTTAAATACTTTAAATTAGACCCAGTGATAGCATCACTGGGTGTCTGTGCTTCCCTATGCATTTCAGGCAGATCATGGCTGGTGGAAGGAGCCAGGAGGGTGCTGTACATAGCTCCCTGAAAACATCCCAGCACCCTTCCTCAATACTCCTCTCATGAGCCCTCAGTCCTGATGCAAGAGGTGGGCTGGCTCATGGGAGGAGTTATGCAAATATCAAAATGCCTTGATGGGTGAAATAAATACAAGTGTGCCATCCAATAGGCACCAGAGTTTGACCCAGTGCATTCAGTAGTCAGCACTCAGTAACAGACCTGGTCAGACACCCCCCCTACAATACGAATCTGTGTGTGACTTCAGACCTGCCTATCAGTCTCATCCATGTTCCCTCCTCTTCTGTTCGGCAGCCAGTTTGGTGTCGGGACGTTTCCGGTGGAGAAGCGCTGGCCAGGGATATTCGAAGAGTTCCAGAGATTCCTGGAATCCGGCTGTAACCGAGAAATGGAGGAATCTTTCCTGGGATTTCACACCAAGTCCAGCAAGAAAATCCAGAGACCTCAGGAGTACCTGTGCTGCAATCTGTAAGTTGGGTCATCCATGGGTGGCCCTATCTATGGGGTTGGGGGGTTTCCTCAGCCGTGTCTCTAAAATCAGTTCTCTGCATCCCGACCATCCGCTGAGATCATTTCCCACAAGACGGGACTCGATCCTGGGACTACACCGATATTAAAGGGCCACTCCACCCCAAACCTTCCCTCTGTCTTGGTGAGTTCTATCTGCTGAACACCCAAATCTGCACAACGTCTCTGCCCATTACAGGGACTCATACCAACCCTGACCCCCAATGTGAGGGACATTCTTCCCACTGACCCCCCAATGTAAGGGACATTCTTCCCACTGACCCCCAATGTAAGGGACATTCTTCCCACTGACCCCCAATGTAAGGGACATTCTTCCCACTGATCACCAATGTAAGGGACATTCTTCCCACTGACCCCCCAATGTAAGGGACATTCTTCCCACTGACCCCCAATGTGAGGGACATTCTTCCCACTGACCCCCCAATGTAAGGGACATTTTTCCCACTGACCACCAATGTAAGGGACATTCTTCCCACTGACCTCCAATGTAAGGGACATTCTTCCCACTGACCCCCAATGTAAGGGACATTCTTCCCACTGACCCCCAATGTAAGGGACATTCATCCCACTGATCCCCAATGTAAGGGACATTCTTCCCACTGACCCCCAATGTAAGGGACGTTCTTCCCACTGACCCCCCAATGTAAGGGACATTCTTCCCACTGACCCCCAATGTAAGGGACGTTCTTCCCACTGACCACCAATGTAAGGGACGTTCTTCCCACTGATCCCCAATGTAAGGGACATTCTTCCCACTGACCCCCAATGTAAGGGACGTTCTTCCCACTGACCACCAATGTAAGGGACGTTCTTCCCACTGACCACCAATGTAAGGGACATTCTTCCCACTGACCCCCAATGTAAGGGACATTCTCCCCACTGACCCCCAATGTAAGGGACATTCTTCCCACTGACCCCCCAATGTAAGGGACATTCTTCCCACTGACCCCCAATGTAAGGGACATTCTTCCCACTGACCCCCAATGTAAGGGACATTCTTCATACTGACCCCCAATGTAAGGGACATTCTCCCCACTGACCCCCAATGTAAGGGACATTCTCCCCACTGACCCCCAATGTAAGGGACATTCTTCCCACTGACCCCCAATGTAAGGGACATTCTTCATACTGACCCCCAATGTAAGGGACATTTTTCCCCACTGATCACCAATGTAAGGGACATTCTTCCCACTGACCCCCAATGTAAGGGACATTCTTCCCACTGACCTCCAATGTAAGGGACATTCTTCCCACTGACCCCCAATGTAAGGGACATTCTTCCCACTGACCCCCAATGTAAGGGACATTCTTCCCACTGACCCCCAATGTAAGGGACATTCTTCCCCACTGACCCCCAATGTAAGGGGCATTCTTCCCACTGATCACCAATGTAAGGGACATTCTTCCCACTGACCCCCAATGTAAGGGACATTCTCCCCACTGACCCCCAATGTAAGGGACATTCTCCCCACTGACCCCCAATGTAAGGGACATTCTCCCCACTGACCACCAATGTAAGGGACATTCTCCCCACTGACCACCAATGTAAGGGACATTCTCCCCACTGACCACCAATGTAAGGGACATTCTCCCCACTGACCCCCAATGTAAGGGACATTCTTCATACTGACCCCCAATGTAAGGGACATTCTTCATACTGACCCCCAATGTAAGGGACATTCTCCCCACTGACCCCCAATGTAAGGGACATTCTTCATACTGACCCCCAATGTAAGGGACATTTTTCCCACTGACCCCCAATGTAAGGGACATTCTTCCCACTGATCACCAATGTAAGGGACATTCTTCCCACTGACCCCCAATGTAAGGGACGTTCTTCCCACTGACCCCCAATGTAAGGGACGTTCTTCCCACTGACCCCCAATGTAAGGGACGTTCTTCCCACTGACCCCCAATGTAAGGGACGTTCTTCCCACTGACCCCCAATGTAAGGGACATTCTTCCCACTTACCCCCAATGTAAGGGACGTTCTTCCCACTGACCACCAATGTAAGGGGCGTTCTTCCCACTGATCACCAATGTAAGGGACATTCTTCCCACTGATCCCCAATGTAAGGGACGTTCTTCCCACTGACCCCCAATGTAAGGGACATTCTTCCCACTGACCTCCAATGTAAGGGACATTCTTCCCACTGATCACCAATGTAAGGGACATTCTTCCCATTGACCCCCAATGTAAGGGACATTCTTCCCACTGACCACCAATGTAAGGGGCGTTCTTCCCACTGACCCCCAATGTAAGGGACATTCTTCCCACTGACCCCCAATGTAAGGGACATTCTTCCCATTGACCCCCAATGTAAGGGACATTCTTCCCCCTGACCCCCAATGTAAGGGACATTCTTCCCACTGACCACCAATGTAAGCGACATTCTTCCCACTGACCCCCCAATGTAAGCGACATTCTTCCCACTGACCCCCAATGTAAGGGACATTCTTCCCACTGATCCCCAATGTAAGGGACATTCTACAACCTGTAGATATGTAACTATCACAATGATTCCCTGAGAGACTTGAAGGTGATTTCAAGGGTTCCTCCATGTTGAAGGTTGATAAATCCTCTTCTAGTCTCAGATTACAAACCAGCAACCATACAATGTAACCTAAAGAAAGAAGGGGAGGAGTCACAGTGCAGAACTAGGAGTCCATTGACCTATGACACGAAGGTCAGATGGTTGTCGTAGTGTCGGGGTACGTCTTCTGTGGTTTAATTTTTTTACTCATTTGGGTGGCACTGCCACACTTTACAGAGAACAATGACCCATTCACATCCGTCTGTCCCCCGAAGGATCTTACGTTGACCCTCCACTCCTCCCTCTACTCAATACTGAGCTTTCCTCCAGTGCAGATCTGTACAAACCAACATACACAAGACAGCAGATTCTGATTTATGAGAAGGTTTGAATGAGGTGATACGACTACGACACGCTTTCTGATAATTGCAGGGGAGAAACTGAGGATGAGTCAGAGAAGATGGAGGATATGTTGAAGAACTTGAATCTCAAGAAGGAGCCAGAGGCCTTCCAGGTGTATCTAGAGAAGGTAAGGAAGGGGACATGACCTTAATACTGGTCAGCTTTACTCGGTCTTCTTTGTAGAGAAGGTAAGGAAGGGGACATGACCTTAATACTGGTCAGCTGTACCTGGTCTACATGGTAGAGAAGGTAAGGAAGGGGACATGACCTTAATACTGGTCAGCTTTACTCGGTCTTCTTTGTAGAGAAGGTAAGGAAGGGGACATGACCTTAATACTGGTCAGCTTTACTCGGTCTTCTTTGTAGAGAAGGTAAGGAAGGGGACATGACCTTAATACTGGTCAGCTTTACTCGGTCTTCTTTGTAGAGAAGGTAAGGAAGGGGACATGACGTTAATACTGGTCAGCTGTACCTGGTCTACATGGTAGAGAAGGTAAGGAAGGGGACATGACCTTAATACTGGTCAGCTTTACTCGGTCTTCTTTGTAGAGAAGGTAAGGAAGGGGACATGACCTTAATACTGGTCAGCTTTACCCGGTCTTCTTTGTAGAGAAGGTAAGGAAGGGGACATGACGTTAATACTGGTCAGCTGTACCTGGTCTACATGGTAGAGAAGGTAAGGAAGGGGACATGACATTAATACTGGTCAGCTTTACTCGGTCTTCTTTGTAGAGAAGTTAAGGAAGGGGACATGTCCTTAATACTGGTCAGCTTTACTCGGTCTTCTTTGTAGAGAAGGTAAGGAAGGGGACATGACGTTAATACTGGTCAGCTGTACCTGGTCTACATGGTAGAGAAGGTAAGGAAGGGGACATGACATTAATACTGGTCAGCTTTATCTGGTCGTCTTTGTAGAGAAGGTAAGGAAGAGGACATGACGAAACAAAGTCCCAAACAAAGACAAATCAGGCCGGCTATTCAGTCACAGATTTTTTTTTTTAAGTCCGCGAATGTGCGAAAAAATGAAAAACCCGTAAGTGTTCACAAAAAATGTGCAAAACACCACACAAAGAAGTGCACTTAGGGGTGTGCTTTGTCCTTCCCCCGAAGGGGATGGACCTCTACCCTGATCCCCCGGGGCACGAAGCTCCTGACAGGGACAAGGTTCCCATGTGGTCCGCATGGCTGAAAGGCCTGGCGGACCCCGTTCCTTGTGGCCTGCCGAAGCCAGCCACTCAGTACTTGGTCAGGGGGTTCTCCCGAAGAGAAAACCCTCTAGGGACAGGGGAGGAAGGAACCAAAAGGCCACACATCCTCCCCCTAGACTTCAGGGAAGGCCCGAGGACCCACACCCTCCATCCTGTGAGAAAGAAAACACACACAAAAGTGAAAAGTGACAAACGTGGGAGGAAAAATAAATTAAAATAAATAAATAAGTGGCCGTGCAATTGTGCACTGACCAGGCCCTGAGGCCCGTAGCAAAAATTGCCCAGGACTTAGCCAAAAGGCCTGGTCCTGAGGGCGCTGTGCAGTAAAAGTGTTGAAACAGTGACCATGTGCACGTTTCACACGTTGGGGTCCCACACCCAAGTGTTACTAAGAGCACCCCTGAGGTGACCACTCTCAGGGGGCACTGGTTCGCGGACTTTCTGCCTCCCCGGCCCCTGGCCAGACAAGGTAGATCCGTTCAAATCAGGAAGAAACTGGGCCCCTCCGGTTTTCCAGCGGGAATTACTCCCGGGCCCCAGCAGCCTGTGGGCGCCTCGGTTTCTGTTCCAGCCGGTACTAGCCATCAGGACCCCCATCCTACCAGCAGGGGTACTATACAACCAATCATCCCCGCAAAGCAGGAATGATGGTGGAGCGCCCCTACTGGACACTGATAAGAACAGATACTACACTTGATATTAGCCAAAAGGCCGAGAAGCGATTCAGTCACAGATACTATACATCCCTTGGTGATGCCGGAACCCCCCACCTTCTCTCTGGTGGTTTTCTATATGGTGAGGGGTAACATCTTCCTTCCCTCATCTCAGTGAGAACAAGAAGTACCAGCCAGTCCACACAATATACCAGCTGGAAGCACTTATTGCACTCTAAGACACGCCCCAAATAGCACAATCCTCGCCCCAGAGGCACTAGACTGGATTGGGGGCAGAGTTATGGCCACCCACAGTAACTCAATAAGTCATTTGGTGAGCCGTGAATGGACGGCCCTTGCATAATTAGAGGTGGTGTTTTGGTGCGCCAATTCGTTAAGTGCGCTGGAGTCTGGCCAGGACGCCCTGGTCACTGGGGGGGGGGGGGGGACTAAGAAGGATTTTAGGAGAGATTAACTGTCCCAGGGACCAGAACTGAGATGTCGGTGAGTATAGTTGGCACCTTTCTGGGCCTTCGATAATTGAAACACGGCTGTAACTAGGCAATCCTTGGCTAAAGAAATATTTGGGGTTATTTAAACAGAGATTGGTGTAGGTATCAAACCCACCAAGGTCATCTAGTGGCCAGGGCAAAGATGCCAAATGGCACCCCCACCCCCCCACAATAAAAAATGCAGTACTAAACTGCACTTTAACCCCCCAAAGCATCAGTTCTCTTTGCAAGCCAATGTTCTTCCCAGACAAAAATTCCCTCTTCCCCGCCAAAATCCCAACCCAGCAAAAATCTTAGCCCCCACCAACCCCCCCTCCCAGATCAAATCCCCCCTCTAAACATAAATCTTCCCCCCTCCAAATCAACTCCGCCTAGCAAAAGTCCACTTCCCCTCAAATTTCCCCTCTAAACATAAACATCTGTTTGCTTTCAGGCATTCAACTTCTCTCCCCACCCGCTGAAGGTGCTCCTGAAGGTGCTGCATGGAACATTTCAGGCTACATACTCTGGATCGGGGGCCAATCTCCATCTCTTGGACATGGCACAGGAGGAAATCAAGCACTACGCCAAAAAGATCTGGGAGTTTTTTCAGGTAGCATCTTTCGTCATTCCCGGGACGGACCATTAGAGCCATGGACAGCTGAGCCGTTCCCAGGGACGGAAGTACTGAACTTCTGATGATTTTATTATTTGCAGAACATTAATGGCCATGAAAGCTGAGAAGGAACGTCAGACAAGCCCTGGGGTTCCGGAGGAGGAACTGAGGTGAGCGACAATATATATAGCTTACTATAGGACTTCTCTCCCACTAATGATTGACCAGAACTGAGATGTCACTTCTCTGAGGAAAGACTCAACTGTGTCTAATTTCCTATTTCTAGTGATGATCTGAATTCTCATACTGTGATCCTCCCCGCCATCCTCCCCCGATTCCACCCTGACCTCTTCATGCTGTACATGCTCTACCACGAACAGGAGGATACCCTCTACTGGCAGGGTATAGTCCGCCTGGGTCACCTGACTGACACCAAGCTGCTGGAGTTCCTGGATGTGCAAAGGTACCTATCTGTCTTTCCTATCTATCCATTTATCTATCTCGGCCCTTGTGCCCCTGTGCGTAAAGCCAGCTCCATAAAGACATGCATTGACCAGTTTGGGGTGGAGAACAGGTCCCTGCCCTCAACCCTACTGAACACCTTTGAGATGATTGACAATATTGAACCAGGTCTTCTTGTCCAATATCAATACCCGACCTCACAAATAAGTACAAATCCCCACAGAGCCAATCTTGTGGAAAGCCTTCCCAGAAGACTGGTGGATGTTGTAGCCACAAATGAGGGTCAGTTCCATATTAATGACCATGATTTGGGAATGGAATATCCACAAGATTGGTCATATTATCTATCTATCTATCTATCTATCTATCTATCTATCTATCTATCTATCTATCTATCTATCTATCTATCCCCTCCAAATGTTTGAGTTCAGATGTTTCCATTGAAGAAGGGTACACTTCCAAACGTGTGGTGACAGTTTGGTGAAGACCCTTTTCTGTTCCAGCGTAACTGTGCCCCTATGTACAAAGCCAGCTCCAAAAAGACATGGTTTGACCAGTTTGGTGTGGAGGAAGCTAAGTGTCCTTCACATGACTTCAACCCTATGGAACACCTTTGAGAGGAATTCGAACATTTGTGAGCCAGGTTTGACCAGTTTGGAGGAACTCGAGCGTCCTGCACAGAGCCCTGACCTCAACCCTACTGAACACCTTTGGGATGAATTGGAACACTGACTGTGAGCCAGGTCTTCTCATCCAACCTTAGTATCTGACCTCACAAATGGGCACAAATTCCCACAGACACCCTCCAACATCTTGTGAAAAGTCCTCCAAGAAGAGTGGAGGATGTTATAGCCAGAAAGTGGGACCAACGCCATATTATTGGCCATGGTTATAGAATAGGATGGCCAACAGTTTGGTGAAGAACCTTTTCTGTTCCAGCATGATGGTGCCCTGTGTACAAAGCCAGCTCCATAAAGACATGGTTTGACCAGTTTGGTGTGGAGGAAACTAAGTGTCCTTCACAAAGCCCTGACTTCAACCCTATGGAACACCTTTGAGAGGAATTCGAACATTTGTGAGCCAGGTTTGACCAGTTTGGAGGAACTTGAGTGTCCTGCACAGAGCCCTGACCTCAACCCTACTGAACACCTTTGGGAGGAATTCGAACATTTGTGAGCCAGGTTTCCACAACCAACCTGACCTAGTACCTGACCAAACAAATGGGGAAAAATTCCCACAGACACTCCAAAAATTGTG